ATTTTAAGCTTTAAAAAATTGTTATTAAAATAATTAAAATATTTATATATTTATACTTATAATTTAAATTTATATCAAATTACTTACTAAATTTTTGTTAAGTCTGCTATATGTAATATTCTCAGACATTATAAATTTTTCATAATGTTTGCTTAACATTATTTCACATACAGTTATAGTGTATGTTAATTTTATATTAGAAGGTAATTCGTTAGGCCACACCTTTTTAATAATCCGAATCATATAAGTATTATTAGGATCTGCATCCCCTGCTATACTAATAGGTGTAAAAAGTTTATGATAACATGTCTGAGTTTTTAAAGATGCTTTCTATGATGAAACTACTGCTGGTGCTGAATTAGTGTTAATCAAATCTAATTGGTTTGTATCAAAAACTAAAAATATTGCATCTTTAATACGTGTAGTAAGTGCACTTCTAAGTGCACGATGATGCCGAATTAGCTAATATAAAAAATTTAATTTGTCAAGTTAAAAAGGTCGAATAATTTCGAAATTTGTTAATTTAAATTAATATTATAAAAATAAATTCTAAATATTTCGAATATATTCGAAATATTTAGAATTATTATATTATTAAAAATTAAAATTTACCGGTCCATAAATATTTTGCTTATAATATGTTTGCCATTTTCTATCTGTCATATTAGTATAAAAATCATTATGATTTTCATTTAAATAGTTTTCTGATGCTTCTTTAAATTGTTCTTCAGATGGATAAATAGAAAATTCAATTAATTCTTTGGCGATAGCTTTTACAGTTTGCTATAAATAAAGAATATTATTATTATTTTATTATTATATTAATTATTAATATAAATATACAAAAAAATTTACATTATAAATTGAGTTTCATGAGTTAAGTCAAAACTTTCCAAAATACGTTTATCTATTTCAGCAAGTCTTCTTTCAATTCGATTAATTTTGTTAGATAAATTGCTCAAATTATTTAACTTGTCAGATAAATCGATCAATTTATTCATTATTAAAGTTAATGTACTATCTGATATATCTAAATTTAAATAGATTATTAAAAATATATAAAAAATAAAAAAAGCTTATATAAAAATATAATATATTAAAATTTAGAAAAATTAGAATATTTAAAAACCTTCAGGTTGATTCGAAGTACTCCAAATAGGATGAGTTGGTGCTGTACTAGTTGCTGGTTGAGCCTGACTCGTAAATTCTCTACTTTCTCTTGAACCAGCAAGAATTTCAGCAAAAATTTCAAGATGTTTTGCTTATTTTTTTGCATGTTTCAGCATTTTGTAAAAATAAAAAATAAAAAATAAAATAAAAATAAAAATAAAAAAGAAAAAAGGAAAAAGAAAAAGAGAATTTAACAAATTAAATGAAAAGTGAAAAATGTGAAAAAATGCGAAAAAATTCGACGATAATTAAATGAATGTAAAAAATATGATTATAACTTGAATACTTTGAAAATAATTTGAAAAAGATGTAGATGAATTTAAAAAATGACGAAAAATAGTAGTGAAATAAAAATGCATAAGAATTATAGATAGAAAATGTAAAAGAAAATAAACCGAATTTAATGAAAAAAGGCGAAATAATGTGAATAATTAAAGATTTTGAAAAAATGTGTAAGATAAAATATATCAAAATAATGAAAAAGAAGTAAATGGCAAGTAAAAACTAAGTGTAAAAGAAAAAAGAAATAGTCGAGAAATAAAAAAAATGTAAAAACAAGTATTATAACAATATTTAAAAATTATTTAAAATTTATATAATAAATCGAATTTATGAAAAAATTTTAGAAGAGAAAATTTTACAAAATATCATCAATTTATAAGTTTTAAATATTTAAACTTCATACTTAGTGCTAAAGTAATTAAAACTTTATTCGCATATTAGAAATTCTCTTTTATTAAAATATTATTCTAATAATTTTAATAAATTCAAAAATATTTGAATATAAATAAATCATTATAATGAAATTTATACTTATGTAATCAAAATTTCATATAAGAATTTAAATTATTTTAACTTTTCTTACTTAAAGAACAATGTAATCAAATTTTAAACGCTTATTGAAAATTTTATTTTATAAATTAAATTATCATAAATTTTAATAAATTCGAATATATTCGAAATTTAAAATCAATGTTCAAAATGTTCTTATGTAATCAAATTCATGAAATTGTTTAAATTAATTTTATGATTATTTACAAATGTTCGAAAATAATCAAATATTTTTAATGAACTTGCAATATTATAAATTTCGAAATTATAATAAACCATCTCGCAGCAATATTTATTTGCATTATATTTTTAGTCTAAACAATAAAATACAATAATTGAAAATTATTTCTTTATTTAGTGAATTCGAAATCCTTTAAAAATGATTTATCCACATACGTATGTAGTAGCAAACAAATATCCTTTTATAAAAGTTTTAATATATGCATTTAGTGTATAAACTTTTGTTTGATAAATACATTCCTGAATTTTAAATAAATTTTAATGTAATCGAATATTTAAATAAATTTAATATAATCTCATTAAATAAATTAATTGAATACATAAAAAGAAATAATAGAAAATTAAGGATACTTAAGAAGCGAATATAAGAAATAAATATAATTAAACAATTTTAACATATGTTTTGTAAGTTTTCGTCTAAATGATTAGTAAATATTGAAATATATCAAATACGAGAAATGTAAATTATTAATTTTTTTCTAAATATAATAAGAAAACCTGAAAGATAATAAGCTTTCTAATATAAAGTCAATATAAAGCAAAATTTTGAATATATTCGAAAAAATCTAATAATAGGCAGAATAAATTAGAATTCTTAAAAATGTTCATATACTTGATTTTTCATTTTAAATAATTTAATAAATAAAAAAATCAGCACTGAATTAAATAAAATAAAATACATTTGAAAATATTAAATATTATTCGAATAAATTCGAAAATGTAAATATTTACAATATATTTCAAATTTATTAATTTATCTGTGTTTATAATAATAACATTAGCAAATTTTAAAAATGGAATATTATATGAGATTTACGATTGACAAGTAATATTGAGTAAGATTTAAATAAGTGCGAATAGGTGCGAAAAATATTTAAGTAAATTCGAAAAGATTCGAAATGATTTGAAAAATATAATTTTTCGCACTTTATTCCAGATATAATGGAATTTATATCATCAAATTCAGCCTAATATTTACTGATAGCTTAATTATAATATTTAGGTAATATTTTTGGTTATTGTGAAATAGCTAAAAAATCAAATTATTGTGCAAATTTTACGAATAATCAAAATCTTCGAATATAAGGCCGATTTTAATTATTTAACTACTTTTATTACTATATTTGTTGCTGAATATTGCTATTTTTCAAACTTTTGCGTATTTTCTTAATTAATTTTGAACCTTTTAGCACTTTTTAATTTTGCACAATATTGCGCGTTATTCATAAATCTTACATAATATCACAGTTTTATAATTTGCTTATGAAATATAAAGAAATTTTATCATTATTTAATTTTTTAGAAATAAATAAATTATATCTTA